CACAGAGGAGGAGCTGAGAGCTGAAGACGTCTCATTCCTGCTCAACTACAAGGCTGCAGTGGAAAGAGTCCAGCAGCGCCCCCTGCTGGATGATCCACAGCTGCCCTCAGGAGCTCTGATAGACCAGGCCAAACACCTGGGCAACCTGACCTTCAACATCTGGAACAAGATGAAGGACACGGTCTCCTACACTCCTCTCATTCTGGACCCAAACACTGCTGGTCCAAGACTCATCCTGTCTGAAGATCTGACCAGTGTGAGACGAGGAGAGAGAAACAGCAGCTTCCTGACAATCCAGAGAGGTTTGATGGTTCCTACTCTGTCCTGGGCTCTGAGGGCTTTAACTCAGGGACTCACAGCTGGGATGTCGAGGTTGGAGACAGTACAGTCTGGTTACTGGGTGTGTTAGCAGAGTCTGTCCAGAGGAAGGGAGACATAGAGTCTGGATTATGGGGAATATGGTTCTATAGAGGTAAATACTCAGCAGAGTCACCATCAGCTCCATCCACTGATCTCAGAGTTCAGAAGAAGCTCCAGAGGATCAGAGTGAATCTGGACTGGAACAGAGGAAAGCTGTCGTTCTCTGATCCTGATACTAACACACACATACACACCTTCACACACACTTTCACTGACAGGATGTTTCCATTTATTGGCACTGTGGATGAACTCCCACTGAAGGTTTTACCAGCGAAGGTCTTTGTGACTGTAGATGCTGCTGCTGCTGATGGTGACGACTAAATGCTGTAGTTTTCATTGTGTTGTTTCTGCTGATGTGTTTAACATGAAGTTGTCATATCTGATCTGACAGAGAACCAGTGAATTAAAGACTTCCTGAGTTTTAAGGATGTAAATAATGAGAGTTTATCAAAGTGCTGTAAATTTAGTGAAAGTAAAGTCGTCTTTCAATAAAACCCTGTGGAGCAGATTTCCTCAGAAACCTGTGGTACAGCTGATGTCTCCAGAGAACACAGTTTGGTCCTAAATAATCCCACATGTTCATCATTTTCCTCCCTTAGAATCAGATTCAGTAACAGCTGCACATTTATTAGTTTATCAGATAACTGATATGTTGCAGCACTTTGGATATTTTTACAGAGCGACTGTCTGGTGATCCTCTCTTTTCTTTTCCCGTCAGAACAGCTGACTTTAACAAACTGTGTCTCCGGCTCCGAGTCTGTGTGATCAATAAGTAGAATGTAGAAACAGCAGGTGTGTTCGGGGCAGCATGCGTCGCTGTGCGGCCCTCAGAGGGTAAAAACTCACCTGCTTGTTGAGACTCTTCTTTGGATCAATTCTCATTAACAACGTTGAGCTGCGATGCCATTAAAGAGGTGATATTCTGCTCATTTTCACGTTCATAATCCTATTTAGAGGTTGTACCAGAACACGTTTACATGGTTATGTTTTTGTGATACTGCACCTCCTCTTTTCAGCCTGTGTTGAAGGCTTCGTTTTAGCTATGGAGTGATACATCTTGTCTCTAAATGATCTTTGCACATTTTAACTGTTTTGACGCTTTTTCATTCTTTAAACCAAATAAAGTTTTAATGTAATGCTTAATTTCTATCTTAAAAAGTGGCAATTGTGTTTTTTTCTTCGACCATTTGCACTTTTGAGTGTAAAATTTTAATACAAACAAAGAGGCTCAAAATATATCTTCTTTCACAATTAATATCATTCTTGTCATAAAAAATATAATGTCTTTTCTGCAAAATAATAGTTGAACCAGTCACTGCTTAAAGAGATATTCCAAATCTAACCAAAATAATTTGGTACAAACACAATCAATAAAATAAATGACAAATGGTTTCAGCCTCACTGTTTCACAGCATCGTTCATGAACCTTGAGATCACCTGGTTTACAGCATAAATCAAATGTATAATTTCAGATCAAACTTTTCTAATTCTGCTAGTGCCACAGAATATTTCTTATTTACATTCCAAACTGACTTCCATTTAATATTTTCTATTCTTGACAGGAGTTGTGGGCTCCGACAGTCTCCTTAGAAAATTACTGGTACATTTCTTATCTGTGACCTTTAAGCTGTGGAAGATAAACGTGCTCCTTCCTTGTATTAATCTCAAAAGACCAGAAGGCATTGCATCACAAACACTAGAAAATCCTTTAACTGGAATTCTGTATAAGAAAACAAGAGTCCATTTTCATTTTGCAATTATGTCATTAAAATAATCAAATAACTAACCAGGACAATAATGCTTGTTCATGATAACTGGATGGAGCAGCAGGGATCACATTTATGTCCAAACTGCATTGGAATTCAACACCACCTACTTTTTCAAAAATAAATTCTGGATCAAAGAGGATGCTGTCCAAGCTACATGCAATACTTTGCTTCTCCCAATGAATCTATGGTTTCTATAATATTTCTATTATAAAGATGATTATAGATTAATAGAATATAGTCCCGTTGTTGTGATCTCAATCTGAAGTTTTAATTACAAGTCTGAATGTTTTGTCTTCACAAGCCTGAAGTTTGTTTTCTCCTGCTGCCACCTGGTGGTCTCTTTGCTCTGTTGCAGCTGTTCAGATTAATGCAACTTCAACTCACGTGCACAACAAACAGCACATCTTGTAAATTTATTAAGACATGTTAAGATTAATCAACTGCCTCCTGATTTAAAATACAAAGTTAAAACTGTTCAGCGCATCACTGAGATGATTATTATTGGAGCCCAGCGCTGCTGAACACCATCAACATCCATTTTCTACCTAAATGATTTTGTCTCCTGAGACAGAAGGTCTGAGGAGGCTGTAACAGGTTTCACTGACCTGACGAGCTCACAGACGTTTCACCTTCTTCTCAGGACGAATCAGATGCTCAGAAGAGAAAGCAGCAGAAGTCCAGACACGTGTTTAACTCAAGGTCCACTTACTGGCTTTTTATTCCAGAACTCTCAACCACATCTCACGTCACGTGATCACCACGTCATCATGAGATGCAGCTTAAAGCTCCAAGAAGGCGTGGCCCCATAACCTACTCCACTGATTCTCAAAGTGGGGACCGGGAACCCCCAGAGGTACTTGCAGGAAATAACTGGAGATTGTGTGCATGCGTTTCCACAGAAATCTAAGCCCAACCGGCCACATGGTGGCGCTGTAAATAAGCATGAAAGGTTTTTGAAAGGCCACGTCCTAAACACATTTTATGACATCTCCTTCGAGACCGTAGATCTGACTGCCATCAAACAGTTGGTGGATCAACACTGGAAAGTTTATCAAAAGTTGTATAAAGCTTGTTCATCTCTCATTTAAGTTTAAATGATAAATAATAAATAGTTAAATAAGTGGTATTCTGCTCATTTTCAGGTTCAAAATCTTATTTAGAGGTTGTACCAGAACAGGTTTCCATGGTTTAATAAATATTTTTTGTCATACTGCACATTGCTGCAGCTCCTCTTTTCAGCCTGTGTTCGAGGCTTCGTTTTAGCTATGGAGTGATACATCTTGTCTCTACATGATCTGTCAGTCGGCTCTAACAGCTGCACAGACTTGATGGAGTTTGTGTCTGCACATGTGCAATGTTCTGATACTAAAAGTCTCTCAGTAGCCATTACCTGTTTAACACCTGCACATGTACTGTGTCCTGCTCAGAGGCATGGGATCATTTCTACTGGCACAATGCTGATATTATATCATTTATAGATTCTGAATTCGTTATTGAATAACCCAGAATATGATGTCTTGGGATTTATTAGGCAAAATGTGTCAGGGAAATTGAAAAGATGTCACTCATATCAAAGTCTACTTTAGCTCAGTTTATTTCCTCTTCAGATATCCTTTAACAGTAGCCTACTGCACAGGCCTACATTTAATTTATGCAAGTCACATCACTTGTCAGGGGTCCATCACTCCACAGCAGTTTTCATTCATTCTTTCATCAGCTGATGGCTGGATGAACAGATTTATTTTCCTTTGCTTGCTTCATTAGAGACTTTAGTGCAGTTTAGTTTTGTCCGACTCATTACTTGTTTAGGCTACTATGTTTTATCTATTTGGACTAAACACAGGAATGACCAGCCTCATGTGAATGATGATAAATTATGTAAAACAGGTTTCTTGCTGACAGACTGACTAATTGTCTCCATAATAAAAGTTGATTGGGGAAAAAAATAAAGTTTCCAATGTGCTTAAATGAAGAAGGTTGTGTGTTGTGCTTTTGTTGTTCAGACCTACTTAACTCAGATTTTAACTAGACGGAGAATCAAAAAAAAAAAAAAAATCAAATATAGACTTTGCAGTGATGCAGTTGAGTTTAATGTTTGTCCTGATGCATCTGCGGGAACTGCGATCCATTAAGGGGGCATGTTGGTCAATAAAAGACTTGGTGCACTGGTGTATCCTCGCTCATAGCTCCTCGGAGATCGATCCTCGGAGCGCAAATAAGAGCTTTGGGACGGTCTGCAAGATGGTCGAGCGGAACAACTTCCGGTTCAAGCAAGTAAACGACAAATAAGAGACTTGAGAAGCACCCAATGTTTTTGAGGGCGTGTCCGAGTAGCCGCTTGGAAAGTGTTATGAGGCTGGACTACAAGCCCTTTGGGCTTTTTCCACTTTGTTACATGCACAAACGGAATATAACTCTACAAAAGGAGAGGGGAAAAGCCAAAAAGCAGAATACCACCTCTTTAGAAATCACACAAGTGCCTGAAACATCCCCTGAAAGTTTCATCCAAAGTGATCTCTAGGGGGCGCTATGAATAAGGCGCAGCATGACTCAGATCAGACTATAAATCAGAAGCAGGTTGTTTTATCATCACAAAAGTCACAAGATGTGTTTCGTAACAAATTATTTTGAAAAAGTTTGAACTCGCAAATGGTCGCTTGCAGCTTTATTTCCATTTTTTTTTTCTTTTCCTCTCTGTTGTATGTGGAGCTGCTGTAACAGAGAGAGTTTCACCAGTGTGAGTCCATCTCATCTGAAAACTGCCTCCCAGACATCTCAAACTAAAATAAAAAAAAGACAACAATGCCGCTCTGTGTTGTAGGAGTTTGGTTTAATATTGTACTGAAAAATAAATTAACGAAAATAACTTTGAAATGCAACAAAAAGACCAAGAAAAGAAAAACATTATAAACATTCTTCGCCAGCAGAGCAGGGAGGGGGAATCGCAGTGCTCATGTAAGATTAAATTTACAAATATATATATAAAAAAAAGGAATTTATTAGACATATCCACAAATCACGAAAGCATTCCTTCACATCCAGTGAGCTGAATCTGGTCTAACCGCCCCGAACCGTTTGTTCTCCCAGCTACAAAAAGGTCTAGAAAAATGTATATTTATATATGTATAGAGTTGGTTCACATGCCCGGTGTGTGGAGGAGGCTGTAAAAAACTAAACTGTACAAAAACAAAAAGCACACGGTGGTGGTGAAGATGTGGTGTGGATGGAATGACAATTAAAATAAATAGGAAACGTGATGGAATGAACCCTTCAGTCATCAGAAGTTTGGCTTTAAAACAGAAACACCGTCTTCGTCTTACGTGGAGGATTTTTAGTGTTTCACTAAACGGCTTGTGGTGCTTTTTAAAAAACAGGGAGGAGGATTGTTCCTTCAGGAGGGGGAGGAGGTGACAGAAACACTCGAGATAAATAACAGATTTAAATACTATCTACAGGTCTCAGCTGGACTAAACATTGAAAGCTTCTCTTGGCAGTCAGATCAAGAGGACTGAAGATCATCACCGTCCCAAAATAATAATCCCCGGATTAAATTAAAGACTTGAGGAGCATTTAACTTTAAAAATCAAGCCTCACGTTTGTGCGTTCAGTACAGAGCTGGTTCCTCGTCGCCCCCCCCGGGGTTCCAGCTCTGGACTTTAAACGAGGTCGGTCTGAAGAAGAGGGGCAATACTGAAAGTCATGATCACATCATTACGGATAATAAAGATAAAATTAAATTATTAAGTGGTCTAAAAATCACAGACTACAGACGCTCTTAGCTTCGACTGGTTTGGAGGAAATTCAGTTTATTTTACTTTCAGCTCTATTTCCGCCCCCCGAGTCGAGACAAACGCATGGACGCCTCGTTAGGAGCGGCAACACGGAGATAACAACTTTTAAAAAACACGTGATTCCTGTCTTTTTATTTGTTACTGACTGATTGCAGCTCAGGTTATCTCTGCTGGATCAGCGTCATCAGGAACCGTCTCGTTTCTTTACATCCCTGATGTTTGTTTATTGTGTTTTATTTAAAAACTCCTGTTTTTAAAATAATAAAAACAACATTGTTAACTGCTCATGAAAACCAAGTAATGCTAAGCTAACAACTCTGATTTGGTCACACAGACGTCTCTTTGGAGGAGGGGAAGTAAACGTTCATTTTAGCGTGATATCCAGCAGCAGGGAGTTTTTATGATCTCACACGTTTACTTTTTGCACAGAATAAAAAAAAAAAAAATAATAATCTTGGTCAGACATTTCCACAGACTCGCTGTGGTAAATATTCTAAAAATCTTTAAACGCAGACGTGTTCCAGAAGGAATCTAAATGCCCGTGCGTTTGTTTTTCAGATTTGTGCCTCCGACAGCCCGGCAGGCTTGAAGCTAAGCTAACCCGTTCGCAGGCCGTCCATGCGTTTGTGATTCTGGGTAACCGTGAAAAGTCCCTGAAACCGTTCGCTCCCAACGGCGTCGTGCCCGTTTGTCAGTCCGCTCGGTCTGAGCGCCTCAGTCAGGTAAAGCTGTAAACTTTGGTTGTGACTCCGCCTCCTCCTCCTCCTCGTGACGGAGTCGACGGGAGGAGGAGGAGAGCCGTGAGGAGGGTCTGTGGTCATGCTCTTCATTCATACATTCACATAAAACGGGAATCAATAATGTCGAGTCGTCGCCGTCAGCCGGCAGGTGAACGCACACCTGTGACGACACTCGAGTGATAGACTAATGGCCCCGCCCACCAATAAATACCGTAACCCCGCCCGCTGACAACTAATAAAATACATCACTGCTTCATCCGGGTCTACAGCCGGCACGGCGAGGTAACCTTCTACAGTCAGAACAGAAAGTGATTTACACCATCAAACCGTCCTAAAAACGCCGTTTCCAAACGCCGCAGAGGGAGGAGGTGGTGGTGGGAGGAGGAGGGGGGGGGGGGGGGGGGGGGGGGGGGGGGTAAGAGTGACGTGCCGCTAGTTTTTCTTCTTCACGTTGTTGTTTGAGGCGAGCCGGGGCCGCGGCGCTGGGATCAGGCTTCCCAACGGGATTCGACTCCGAGCCACTTCGAAGAGTTTGGAGAAGATCTGGTGGAGGAAGAAGAGGCGGTCAGGTGGAGGAGTGAGAGCAGACGATGACATTTTCATTAGGGATGCACTGACAGGACTTGACTACTGAACCGATACGAGTGCAAGGAGGGACTGAGAAAAGGCAACGTCAGGCCGTCACAGGTGTCTGACAGATTTACAGTTTCGGATCGGTGCATCCATAATTTTCATACCAGGTGGAAACGATCCAGTTAACTGATCCAGAGTCTGAGGTTTTATATACGGACACATCCGCAACAAACAGGTAATTAGCTGAATTTGTCCTCACCTTCCGTGGAGTCCTCTGGAAGCATTAAGAGAGAGAATAAAGAGGATGAAAGAGAGCAGAACAGCTGAATTCAATGTGACGCTCTGTCGACACGTTTCTGTTTGACGGCCGTCCTCAGTGAGGAAGACCCCGTCGTTAACGAGCCTCATTAAAACCTGTCAGTTTCGCCTTCGTCCACTTGTGTCACGTTTTATAATTACTTCTAAAAATGATCGAGCCTATCGTACGTTCAGCCGTAATAAACCTAATGACTCGGTGGGTCCTGATGGTGTCATGTAAGAGTTGTGATCTCGCCGTTTAACCGCGAGCATCTTTCGCACCACACAGGAAGCTGAATCTCTCTAAAAACACTTCAGCAGATTAACGGAGCGTTTCATCGTCGAAACAAACTCTACGTCACCTGCGACTGCGAGAGAAAACCTTCACTCTCACCTGTTCCCAGAGGGTTTCGGCCACCTGGTCGATGACTCCTCCGACCTCGCGGAACTCCCCGGAGTATTTGGCGTAAGCCCAGATGCAGAGCGCCGTCAGAGCCACGCCCATCACCAGGTTACACAGCGTGGCCACGGAGTTGATGCCCACGAAGCCCGTGACCAGCGACACCACGTACATGACGAACATGACCGCGAACAGCGTGGCGGGCGTCCGCGCGGCGTAGAAGATGTTCTTGCCGTCGTTGTGCTTGCCGAAGTTGGCGTAGGCCTCGTCGAGCTCCGCCTCCAGCTGCTCCTGGTAGCGCCGGCAGAAATCCTCGCCGCCCATCTTCTTGACGGAGCGGAACTGCTTCACCGACGCCTGCCGCAGCTCCGCGTGGCGCCGCTCCAGCTCCGTCGGGGAAATGTAGGGTTTGTCGCCGCCGCAGACCTGACACGGAACACAGGAGATGTTATAACGGGCTGCGGCGCCGATGTCCAATTAGAGCCGGCCGAACAGGAAGTGATGCGTTACCTGCTCCATGCTTTTGTTGTACAAGTCTTTGGCTCCTGCTACAGCTGCAAGGTTGTTGGCTTCAGCTGTTGCCTAGGTAACAGATGACAAAAACACAAATTCAACATGCACGTGACTCTAAACAGTTTGAGGACCTAAATATCACGAAGCGTCCAGCGGGCGGCGCCGTTTAACCTGCAGCATGGACTTGGGGTGAGGAAGCTCTTCTCCCTGGTAGATCTTCATGTAAGCCTGAAATCACAGACAGAACAGGAACAATCAGGAGGACGAAGCCAAACTCTAAACATCTGCTGCTGGTTCAACCAGTTTAGTCCGGCTCGGAGTGAACGCCAGACTCGCGCCTCGTTCCGGACCCGTCGGCACTGGGAAATTTCCAGGTGCGTGACGCTAAATATAAACAACAAACATGGCGGACTGTGACAAACTTGTGTTTCTATGGCAGGTTTCTGCACTTGGTGTTTTTATTAAAAACAAGTGATAAATCTACAGCGTGCGCTTCCAGGGGAGCTGCCGCGACGTCATTCAGCTGCTGCTCGTGACCTCGGGGTACAGATTTTCTCTGCGAGTTCACGAGTAGGAAATCTGACTTCAGGTTTGCGTTCCGTGCTACTTTTTCCACGTTGGAGGTCGGAAATTTCCCAGTTCCGAGTTGCCTGGAACGCAGCGTTAAACTCTTTGTCCGCCGATGACCCCAATTGATGTTGATTGATTGTTTCTGGTGTGACCGCCATGTGAACCAGTGACAGGAAGCTCCATTTACCATTTCTGTACTATTTAATAAATTATTGTCATTTACAATATTTCAGATTTATCAGAATACGTTTTAGGTTTGTCAGTTTGGTAAATACAATAAACACATTAAAGGCACAGTAACAGTCAAGAACACACAATATAAAAATGACCACAACAATGAAAGTTACAAAAAAATAAAAAATACTATAGAAACATTATAAAACAATATGCTAATTATCATAATATGCAATATTGATGGAAGGTCGACACATCTTGATATAAATCCTCAGAGATCTTTGCCATGTTGAACTTCCAGTCACCAGTATGAGAGCGATAACACCAGATTTAACACACCTGAGACCTTGTAACACTAACGAGTCACATGACACCAGGGAGGGAAAATGGCTAATTGGGCCCAATTTGAACATTTTCACTTAGGGGTGTCCTCACTGTTGTTGTCGGCGGTTTAGACATTAACGGCTGTACACTGACTACTTTACACTGGAGCAAAGGGTCATTTCTTCAGTGTTGAAACATGAAAAGATTTTATCAAATATTTAGAAAAATTACTCTTTACTCACTCACTTTTGTGAGATACTGTATATTCATTCATTCACTCATGGAGACACATAAGCTGCCTTTACAGCCATTTGTGCACTTCACAGGTCCATGTCGTGATCTGTGAGCTCCTGCATTATTAAATAATGATTTAGTACTCCTAAACAAAAAATACTATTAACTTCTGTCTGATCAGGACTTTTAAAGCTCCAGGAAACGACTGCGTCAGATCTTTGAGGGGGACGAGTTGAGAAACGATGGATCCAGAACATGAATGTTTCCTGCTTCCTCCGACGCAGTGAGAGAGTGAAAGATGAAGCGACGCAGACACACTCAGGTATGAACTCACCTTGAAGTAGTGCAGCAGGTCTCTGCAGGTGATTTTGACTCCGCCGATCTCTTTTTCCACCAGGTTCTCTGGGGAGAGCAGCGTCGGGACGAGGTTCACCAGCTCCTTCTTAAAATCCTCATCGATATCTGAGACACAAACGCACATCGTTAAATTTGATTATTAAAGTTAAAGTCTCGCCGTGGCTGGGGGCGGCTCGTTGCTGCGGCTAACGTTAGCGTTCTACCTCGGAGCCGGCCGTCGAAGTGAGGGTTGGTGGCCACCTTGAGGCCGGGGTGAGGCAGCAGGAAGCAGCCGATGTTGGAGAAGCAGGAGTGGATGTGTTTCCTGACGTTCTGCAGCTCCTCGTGTTGGTTCTGCTTCACCTGAACACACAGACGCCATCAACGCAATACTGAAATACTTGTGGCACCAAATTTAATTCATTTATAATAAATGAGTCTGTTAAACAAAACAACTACGGTAGTAATACTTTCCACTTGGGACCGGGAAATAAAACAATAAAGATACTTATCGCAATATAATTTTCCTCAATAACAAAAATAACCAATGTTCAATATATCGTCAAATGTTTGATTTAATTCATTTGAATTTCTAACAAATTAGCACTTAATTTTCTATTGAGATGTTTATCATGTTGAGGAAAAGGGAGTGAAAACATGTTATAATATTTCTCCCTCAGACGTGTGAAGTGTTTGTTTGTCCCATTCTGACCATAAAGAAAAGTTTAACCGTCTGGTTTCTTCAATTTTCACTCAGGAGCAAAAATCAGCCTTTAAACTTGAAAGAAATCATGATTTGAACTTTATCGATTATCTTTCTTATTGAGAAAACATTTTTGCCCGTTTGGCCCGGCCTTACTGACGCCGCCCTGCAGAGGCTCACTGCTCACCTGCAGCCGTTTCTCCAGGAAGCTCCGCCCTCCCTCCAGACCGTACGGGTGCTCGTAGGGGTAACTCCAGTCTCTGATCAGGAACATCAGAGTCTGAACGGAGGGACACAGTCAGAGGCTTTAGATTTGTTTACATTACAAAGCAGAAGAGGAGGAGCGTGAAGGAACACGAGCTTCTGCCGATTCAGCGCCTTTAAACTAAAAGAATCCAGCTGGTTTGGTCATCTGGTAAATGAAACTCTGAACGCGTTCTGCAGATCTCACCTGAAAGGGTTTCTCGTAGACCTCCTCCATGGCCAGCCGCCCGTACTCCGTGAACAGCTGAGGACAGGAAACAGCCAGCAGATTAAAATCTAACCCTGCAGTCATGAAGCTCAGAAACTACTGTCTGCATATCTGATTAGTCCTGACCTGCAGGTGCTGGAGGTCGTCCTCCTGGACGTTCTGGGACAGGTTGTACACCTGAAACACACAACAAGAAGACACCTGAGCCCGTTAGTCAGCTGGGCAACCTCTTGTGGGCCCTTACATCCAGGGGGCCGTGAGGGAAACAGACCGGCTGCTCTCGCACCTGGAGCTCCGTTCATCTGGTCCAGACCAGGGGAAAAGCTTTTAGCGAGCGCCAAAGGGAAATCACCAGCGCCAAAATGATCAGAATGGATCATTTGATGCGTTTTAAAACCATTTATCAAATAATTGTTGAGCGAGCAGATCGTGAACTTTAACACGACGCCTCCACTTCCAGCAGTCGCCTCTCCTCTCATTGTTTTTTCACACAGGCGCTGGATTAATAAACCAGCTGCTGCGTTGATTTGACTGCGCCTGAACGCTCCGCTACGAAGCTAGCGCTACTGGGAGCGATGACTTCCTGTTATTTCTCACAATATAAAAGCAGTTTGTGCTTAACGTGTGCGACCTCCTGCGCCCCCGCTCCCCCTCTAATAGACTATGGGTTGTGTTGCCAGGGGAACCGGCGCACTTCCCTCTGCTGGATGAAGCTGAGCTCCTGATTTATACATAATCCACGTGTTCCTGCAGCTGGAGGCTCTCCGCAGCAACTTTCTAAATCCTTCCATCTCACAAAGAAAATAAAGGTCAGGTGGAAACAGCTGCAGAGAGGCTGAACAAAAATTACCCGAAACCTTTAAACCGTGAATGATTCGTTAATACAGCTCGCAGAGTTAACTAATAACAGTTCACGTCTGCTGCGTACCGTTGATTGTACCGACAACTATCAGCGAATTAATTTTAAACTGAAGAAAGCGGAGGACTCTCAGGAAAGTCCCAGCTGCTAGTGAGTTACAAACTGCCTCTTGTTTTTCTAACTCAAAACCCACCTGTCGATGTTCAAGCTCATCTTAATTACATTAAATCAGGCACCGCCGTCGCCCAGGTGTATCTGCTGCAGGTTTATCAAGTGTAACACACAAAGCTGCACTAATAGGACTCATTAAATATCAAATTCAGTATTTGAAACTAAATAATGAGAGAAGGAACCACACAGATTTGTACAGAAATTATTCGAGGTTCATTACTAAGGAGTCGCTGTCGCACATGTTTTAATGGACTTAATGACCTGAGGCGGCGCGAGCAGAGCGTTTTAACAGCTAAAAATGCAACGCGCTGAGGTGACATAACGTTGCTTTTACACAGATGAGATGGATTTAGAGTTATTAATAGTTCAGCTTCTCACATATCTGCTTCTATGTGAGTCCACTTGGAGACGCCCTCCCTCTTAAAGAGGTCTCTGTGCGGTTGTTTAGCCTGCAGCAGACCTGGTCTGACCCCCCCGGCTCAGCTACAGCCCTCTACAGGTTGATGACCTTGACCCATGACGCTTTGTGGACTGCTGACCTGGACTGAGCTGGTCATGGTGCTCAGGGCGAACAGCGTGGCACAGTCTTTGATGGTCGACTGGCTGTCAAACGCCCCCTGTGTGTCCATTAGAAGAACTGCAACCTGCAACGACAGCAGCAGCACATTCATGTCACGACAGCGCCATCGCGTGTTAGTGTGGTACTTCGCTGCCTGGGCAGAAACCCGGCATGTGAACTGACCTTGCGGCCGTCTGGTTTCTCCACCACGAACACCTCGCTCCAGGCCAGGATGCCCGTGGTCTCACGCTCGCAGCCGCCCCGCCAGTTGAAGCCGGTGAGAGGCTCCTCCTCGCTGCCGACCCACGAACCAGACGCCTGGACAGAGACCGGGGAGGGGAGGGGGGAGAGGATATCACACTGTTCAACTCTGAAGCAGAATTAAGTTTACTTCACGTAACGAACAGCATTTACTGTAGAAACAGGAAGCTGTGGGGGCCACAAACAGGAAGGACCAAAAGGAGAACGACCTCAGTGGTTTTAAAAGGTTGGTGTTTTTAAATACAGGATCAGGGTTTTTAGATTTGGTCCCGCCTCCAGCTCTCGACACACAGACGGCGTCTTCATGGTAAAGCATTGAACTTTGTCAGAGTTTGTCCTCCATTAACGCTATGAAAGCCTGGACAGCCTTAAATTCAACCAGAGTAAAACTGAGGTCATGATTTTTAGACCCAGCGGCGCCTCTGATGTCTCTCAAACAGACCTTGGCGCCTCCTGCGCTGTAGACTCTGATATTCGTCACCCTCGACTTCTTCTTCCTGTCGTTGACACACAGACTGTGTAGTCAGATAAAACATGAGGTCCTTCACGCAGGCCGATCCCATCCTCCAAACTCTGACCTGTGCATGAGGTGTGTGTGAAAAGCAAACCCTCGCCGTGACCCGATCCGTGTGGGCGGGGCTTATTCTATGCATAAAGATGGCCTTTATGTGTGGAATAAGCAGCAGTGAGCTCTGAGGAGGCCCAGCCACAGAGCTGCCATTGTGCCGGCCTGAAATCCTCTTTACAGCGCGATGCAAGCCTCCAGAATGTTCCTCAGTGCTTACCGTAGATTAGCACGGCCAAAAGGTCAGTCGCCGTTTCAACAACTACTGCAGGAAAAAATGTCCAGCTTCCCAAAAGACATTTTCATGGTTTCGTGTGTGTGTACAGTTCCTCAAACTCTGGCCGTCTGGACCGAACCTTCAGCTGCGTTTCCACCACAGGAACTTCACCCTGAAACTCCGCAGTGACCAGGGTCTAAATTAAGTTCTGGGGACTTTGTTTTACCCCTACAAGTTCCTGTACTTTCCCAAAGTACAGGAACCTGCTTGATCGGTCAAGTAGAAGCTAAAACATTAAAGACACTGAATAAAGCAGCTTCACCCTAAAAGACTTGTGTGTCTCTCATTATATTCCATCAAATCTGACGTTACTAAATACTGAAACCTGGCCGTCACTCTGCAGGGCGTACATCAGAGTCAGAACACACGTCAGCATGGCGTGCTCTGAGTTTCCCGTGGACAGCGTACCTGTTTGTACATGAAGCGCAGCATGAAGTCCAGCAGGAACGACTTGCCCTTCCGGAAAGCCCCGGCCACGGAGACGACGACCACGTGGAGGTCCCGCACCTCCTCCTGCAGCAGCAGCCGCTCCAGCGCCTCCTCCTGCAGCGAGAACGAGTGCTCCTCCTCGTCCGCCACCACGATCTGCACAGGCCTGGCCACGCCCACTTCCTCCTCCAGCAGGTCGTCTTCCTCCTCCTCCTGGCGCCTCATCGGGGACGTGTCAGATTTCAACCCGTGGCCACCTGAGAGGGAAAGTCGTGGGTAAGAGTTTGACAAGACGGAGAGTGAAACTCACGCCAGGACATCTGTTCGTTATCTGGCTTCTCTAACAATTTATCATCATTATTCCTGATCCACTTCGCACATCTGACCGATTCATTTAACGCACTCCAAACGTTGCTCTAAATTAAAACTCAGGAAGCAAAAAATCCATTCATGTTATAAAACGAAGCACAAACATGGTGAAAGACTGAAATGTGACCTCATCACCTGCCCACATATCAGAAGGTGGTTTCAAGCGTTTAGCCTACATGTTAACATGTCGTTAATTTGTCATTTTGCGTGCTTCAACTACACACGGCTCTCTGTGAGCCCGTTCCACTCTCTGCAGGCTAACGTACATATCCACATGGAGTATTTCAGAATAAGAGCGTTTTGCCTGCCTGATTTTGCGGACTTGTTCAGTTGTCCTTGATTTTTGTGTTTCTACTATGGTTAAGTAGCTACGTAGTTAAAGTGTTTCTGTTTGTTTTAACTGTGTTTAGTGTTGCTGTACGATCGGGAATCTGCAAAAGGTGTTTTATTTTGAAAACTGACCGGATTCTCTATGCCGTTCTGTGTCCGACTTCCTGCCTGGTTCATCTGCTCTATGCTGCTTCACACGGCTTCAGCCAAAAATAGCCCGGCGTTAACAACTGAACTTATGCAAAACTTCAATAATAAGAAAAATTTTTAAATAATCTGGCAGAACAATCGCAATTAGATTTTCCCCCCAAATCGTTCAGCCCTGGTGGATTAGTGTGAGATTTCTGCCTGCTGACCAGTCCCAAACTGTGCCTGTCAGACGGTCTGAAGGGGCAGCAGAGCGGTGACGCAGACATGTGGGACAGATTCTGAATGTGCAGAAAGTTTTGAACCCGAGTGAAAAACTTGGTGAAACATAGGAGCTAAAAAAGGAGTTAATTTAGCCCAACAGATAACATCTACAGTTCGCCTTCCCGCCCGTTCTTGGAATGGAGCAAAAATGAGGAGTTATTCATTTCATCAGCATTTTAATGGTGTGTTTATTATGTCACTAACAACTATAGATGATATCATTTTGGGACGGCGCTCTGGATCAAACTCCCAGAAGTGACAGCGTGTCCTGACCTCCTGCAGTTAGTGAAGCTTCACAAAGGGAATCACTGCCATTACAGGACGGCGGGGTCGACTGGAGGTTTACAGTAAACGGACCGAGCCGTGGGTCAGCGCGGTTTTGATCTGTGAAGCTCCTTGTATGGCGGCGTTTCCACTCCTCTGACCTGCAGCTCTGGTACCAAAACATATTGGACTCCGAGTGCTTTAGCGTCCGTCCGACAGGTCAGAGCGAGGGCTTCTGCTCACCGCTCTGGAATTTAGTGAAACGCAGATCATAAGCGAGCAGCCTGAGGACTCGTGGGGAAGACGCGCCTTCATTCAGGGCAGAGTGGAGCTCGTCGAGGCCACGTGAGAGCGTCGCAGGCAGTAACGCAACACCACGGCATCCCCGGGAAGGCAGACATAACGTCCAGGTCCCCAGAGGCCTTTTAGACAATGATGTGGGCTTTAACTGAGGCCGTTAAGACGACCAGTGATCCGGTTAATTCAGTGTTCTCTCTGTGCAGCACATGAACCGCCGCAGGAACAAAAACCTCTCCAGTGCAGCATAAAGCTGAAACACTTAGTGAAATAGAGAACAGCCCATTTTGAGAAAGTTCTCAAGCTAACGTTAAACATTGTGAGTGAGCAGAACAAAAGGTTCACTGTTAGGTTTAATAAACCCAAAGCCTGCTGTGAAGAGATCTACGTCAGCCTCCAATAGCAGCAGAAGTTTGAGGCAATGTCCTCTAAACTGTGGTAAGTTCAGAAAATGTGTGTTAGTTGATCTGAATGCACAGCTGCACAGGGACCTGTCGCTCGCCTCCAGCATGTCTAACTTTATAATAACTGATCAGAGGATTATGCTGCAAACAGTCTTTTTGCTAAAGTTAAATATAAATCACGGGCTATTTAAATGTCGGGGTAATACATCCTTAGCTTAATCTTATCCAACAAACAACATCGTGCAGAAGGAACTGCGGCCTTCCCTGATAAGAAGCCGACACACACACGTTCGCCGTTATTACGACACACTCCAGCCGTGAATAAGCATCTTCTGCTGATTATCCAACAGGTCAGGATGGCCAGTGGACTCCTGTACAGTCATTTCTCACAGCAGAGCAGGAGTCTGGTCCCAGTTCTGCATGTTCAACCCTCAGAGGCTGCATTCACAGCAGACAGGCATCCCATCCCCGCACAGCTGACCTACCGACCTGAGGACATGTGAGGGACTCATGAGCAGGGTGGGGGTAGGCTGGACAACAGAACGATCACAATAATAATTTTTTCCTCAATAATATAACAAACGTTCAAGAATATTTAATTTTAAATCACTGAATCATACCCAATTTAGAACTTTGAGGAAAAAGGACTGAAAAAAAAAGCTTAAAACCACAACTGACCCTTCGCTAAGCCACGCCCCTAACTTAGTTACTGTTGCTAAGTCCGACGAACTGTCGAACCTGTCGGATTTTATCACATCACAGCCTGGATCAGACCGAAGGCGTTTTTTTTCCTGTGAGAGGCGCTTTTTAAAATTGTTTTCTGTTGGCAGTGAGTTTACAGTTGCTTGGATTTTCCAGAGACGGCAACAATCTGTCCCCGACGCATCCTGAAATACGCCTTGAACCGACCATCATTAAGATGAAGCTCCTGGGCCAGCGGATCCCACACAGATCTTCGCTTCCATCTCTCCTGCGTTTTTGTACAACTCTCACTTTCAAACAATGATCGGGACCTAAAACTGCACTGAAATGTTGTCTAATTTGTAGAAAAGCGACCTTAGAAAGAAGTTCTGCCGTTTCATTGTGCATGTGAAGGTTGTCAGACTGACATTAAACAAATGAAGACATTAGCTAAAGGTTACCGATCACAAAGTGAGACAAAAGACAAGGATATCAGGGATCAACACTGTTCCTGTACAGCTGGGTGGGCCTCGATTCACTATTGCAGTCATTAAAATGTATACACCATTACATTCAGCAGGAAGTTAGCTAGCGTTAGCCAGAGCCCTCTGGCATTAACTAACTAACATCACACTATGGAATAATCCACATTTTTCTGGATTTATTTTAGGTTTTGGAAAGAGAATAAATCGTATTTCTGCTTTCAGCCTGTCTGGGTAGCTGCTGTAACTGTTACAGGATGCTCCAGGATCAGCGTTTGACCACATCTTGGAAAAATACAGCCCCCCCCCCAAACGCTAGAAAACGACTCCTTCTGCATTAGAGTCAATGGAGCGCAGCCATGAAAGTGTCAGACCTCAGTTGGAGCGAGACCTATACTACGCTGTGACTGGTCAGCTGTGTGTTCGGGGTGTGGCTTAGCGAAGGTCAATTAACAGGTTGCTTCAACTTTCACTCAGGAGCAAAAATCAGCCTTTACTGTACTCATCATGTCCTAAACACAGAAGAACACAAAACTAAAGGAGTTTGAAGTTCTATCCGAGCATCAAAACGTTTTCCTTAACGAGGCAAAACTGCAGTTCTTCCTCATTCTGCAGACGCGACGTACCGTTTGGACAGATCGAGCCTTCACATGCGACTCTGGAGCATTTCAGGGTTCCAGCAGGACAAATGTGTAGTGATGAGAGTCTGGACTCTATTTCAGCAACCTGCCACTGGCGGCTGACTGAGAGCTAACGTTAGCAGCGACTGACTAGCCGTTAGCCTGTAGCCATTGTTTTTAGTGCCTGCTCTGTAGCGGGGGGGTCTTTACTGCTGCTCTCTGCCTCGGGCTTGACATGCATGCACATGGATGGGCAGGGAGATCTTTGCCGTCACGTTTCTTTGATTAAAAGTTGTCCAGACTGAATGTTTTACAGAAGCCTGAAAAGGACAAACATCAAGTCAACACTGCCAGCTGTGAGGAGAAGGTTTAAACTATACTTAGACAGAATAAACTTAAATCCATTCGATGATTCGAGCCCTTGCCTTCTCAGAGAAGAACCACAAACACAATAGTGAGCCTCAGAAATCTCTGTTTTGATTCGGCAATACAACAGATTTGCAAGTATAACCGTGTAGGGGCAAATCCTTCTGCAGCAGCAGTGTGTAGTTTAAAGACCCAAGTGTGAGCTCAAACTGTGAATCTGGAGTAAGAGGATAACTACACCAGCAGAATTACGTTCACATCACATGACGCGTGGCTCGGTCTTATGCCCCACTTTGGTCTGAGCAGCACACAGAGTGCAGTTTTCCACACATCAGGTCAGCGGAGCTCTCTGCAGCTGCAACAACACGAGCAGCACTCGCTCACCAAAAGGGAAACTTGAGCCTGAGATAAACTGCTGTAATGGATCACCGGCTGAGACCCAGTCAGACATATTCCAACACGACTGTAGCAGCTGTTAACGCTTCCTGCAGGTGTCACGCTGCTGACAAAGCATTGGAAAAACAGCGAGCCTGAGGTTTCATCATCAGACAGCTTGTGATAGGGATTAAACATGGTAACATTTCAGACAGTATTACCATTTCTATATTAAATCATCGTGATTTAAAATGTCTTAAATACTCTCCAGCATCAAAGTTAGCAACCGTCTCCCAGACACTGAAAACGGACTGGAGCCGTTTCTCAATCTGCGTTCTTGTCTGTACTTGTAAAACGTCATAAGTCGCAGCCAAAGTACTGTTCCAATTCAAAAGTAGGGATTTACATTTACTCATCTGGCAGACGCTTTTATCCAAAGCGACTTACATTTGAGGAACAACATACAAGCATCAACTACAGATCTACAACTGACAACACATACTAGTAAGAGCTCAAAGTTCATATCACATCAATGGGGTAGATACCGAGGGAAGGAAGTAAGAGTTAACAAAAAAGTGCAGTCAATACAAGATCATTGTAGGGGATAGAAGAAGAGCACAGGAAGTGCATGTTAGAGGTTAGGAGTTATAAGAGGATACATTGAGTGGACTATATAGGGTATAATAATTCTGACTATACATGCGGACAGCACTACAAAGTGGCGAGCTCACTATAAAGTCCACTATGTAGGGAGTAGTGGGTGATTTCAGACACTTATCTAGCAAAGTACAGTCAAATACCCGCATGCGTTCTCGCTCTGCCCGTTTGGTGTCTTGTGTGGATGCACTTAGTCGCCAAAAAGTGGAAATGTCGGACGAGAAAACTCATAACTGTAACTTATGATACTGCTGTTCTCGTGTCACATATAGTAGTTTTAAGATTTTTCTGTGTTTTAAGAATTTAATGCGGGAATATAGTTGTTTAAACTCCAAATACGTGGCTGATTTCTCAAGACAGAGCTAGTTTTAAAAAATTGTGAGGTCCCGCCCGCTAATCATCAAGTCCGCTGCTGTTCCAATTGCTGGATGACGGACTGCGTGCTCCGTTCCTGGGAGTTTGTACTCCCGAGCCGAACTTGCCAAGTCCGAGCTTTAAAGTACAGAAGTCCGAACTTGCCAGAGTAACAGCCAGAGTCTTCAGTGTGTTAGTTTTTGGGGGAATCATCTTTTTGATCACTTCACAACATCTTTAATGTTAAAGCACACTTGATGTGTTTGGGTGTGCAATTTTATTATGTTAATAAACAAAATGTGCACAGTGCTACTAATTATATTTTCAATATAAAAAACTTAGTCAGATGATTTCACTGTGTATCTGTAATTTTTGGAAATATTTACAATATGAAGTGTCATTTTTCATAATATGAAATTTTCCTACATTTCACCTGCAGCTTGTAAGTTTACCTTCCCAGCAGGTATCTAGCTAGCAGGTGAGAAAGATGAACCCACTGCCAGTTACCCGGGAAGATCACCTGGGACTTGGTTGTGAAAATGATGAGCTAGTTTCAGATGGTCACTGCAGGGAGTGTAGCAGAAGTGCCACAATAACAGAGTAGTCGGACGGCTATAGCAGCTTACTGAGGGAGTCTACCTTACCCAAACACTTTACAGCCAATCACAGTGCGACGTGTCCTCCTTAAAGACAGAGATATTACACGCCAAACCCCATTCAAAAAACACCCCGTTTAACGTTGCCGTGCTTATATGACAAAACAATCCTTGATAGACGCTGGCATCCATCAAAGCCATCTAGTAGGGATCAGAACTGACTGGACCGTGGTTGGGTCACGTTGGGTTAACGTTGCACGACCACACAAAACAAAAAGTTGTGACCAATAATAAAGAAATATTCTCGAGTTAAGAGCTAACGTTAGCGTTGTGAACCCTTGCCAATAAAAGAGAGACGTTAGCTTAACTCGCCGATTTCTTCAACAGAATCCGGCGTTTAGTTAAATGTATGAGTCTCCTGTGTTATCGTTAAACTAACATGTGAAGCGAAGTTTATTTCTAAAACGTTAAAGCCGGTTTTGTTGAACCACTGCAGGGTGTGCTAGGCTTAGCTTAAACTAGGCACTGAAGTTAGCTTGCTTCACACGGTTAACCACGAAAGGTTTACTGAAGGCTACTAGTGTTATCTTCAAATCGCCTGCTGGTGTCGAAATCGTTTAACACCTTGTTTTTACAAAACAACAGAACAATGAAGACTTGGCTGGAAGAGGCTAGCAGCTGTGTTAGCTGGTCGGCTAACAACAAACACAGCTGAAGGTGAGGACCGATGAACGGCTTAACAAACACTTCATGACAAAACACCCTGCACGGCGGGGACAGTCGGGTCAGACACGCACGGCCACTCTCACCGGCAATTAAACAGACATGTTTTCAGTGATATTTTATTAATATCGCTAATTCGCGACAGAAGATCCGATTATTCGACGGAGCGGAGCGGAGCGCTCCCTGCGGTGTCATTACGTTCACCGTGTGCAAAACAAGCCGCGGCGGGGGTCACATATTATCTATAAAAGCCCGCAGTCACCCTGTCGAGTCACAAACATCATTTCACTCTCTGTAAATGTTTGATTACCTTCTTTAAAGATGCTGTTTTTGTGATTCCGCTGCTTCAACCTGCTCTCCTCCGCCGCCATCTTTCTTTCCTGACCTGCTGATAGCGGCAGACTGCCCTGACGTCATAGAGTCCGCGCGGTCCTAAAGTACGCCCCACCCCTCCCCCTGGTGAACCTATGGAATCAGATTTGTGCCAATTTAGTCAAACAATTTTAACTTCTAAAAAAATCTAACAAAAACAATAATTTCATAGAGCATAAAACTACCCTATTAGTCCAAATATAAGATGACCCTGACTATAAGACGACACCCCCTTTTTCAAGAATAATAAAGACCAAATCTTGTTTTGTAAAGAAAATAATTTCATTTGAAAATGAATTCTAATTAAACACACTGAATAAATAAAACATGGCAGGTTGTTGTTTTTAAACATCTTTTAAATAAATAAAAACATTTTCAATATCTTTTTAAATGAAATGGTCACATTTAAACTACTTCTAAATATAAATGTACAATGTCATTTAAATGTGACCATTACTTTTAAAAATATATTGAAAACATTATTGTATTTATATGTATTTACATGTTAAAAACAACAACCTCCACTGGCATCATAACTCCTCCTTAGCTGTTGGTTAACTTTACCTACTTTTGAACTACGTTCTACACAATCGCCGTGTCTCTCCATGTTTTAGTTGGATGGTGACACGCTTCAGTCAGGAGGGCAACATGCGCTGTGCCAATGGTTGTCGCCATCTGTTGTTGTGGGTGAGTATTAACTAGGGCTGGACACGCGTTATTATCGCGTTAACGCATTAATTAGTTAACGCCAGTTTTTATTATTATTATTATTTTGAAAGTCCGTTGCTCACTGGCTCTGAATACACATCCAGTCATTTAACCTTCCAATTTAACCTAAATTAAAATTAAAGGCTACATAACTTTACCTGATACTTGTCGCTACACCTTGTGCTCGACCACTTCACCTCACTCTAACAGGGAAACTGATTGAACACAGACCGTTTCTGCTGCTCCCTGATCAAAGAAAAATGTTTCTACTGATACCTGTTGAAAGAAAACAAGAAAATTGGATTCTGATGGTAACTTGTTTTAACAAGCTAGATTAAAGGTAATGCCCTGGCAGTGTCAGATAGCTTTGGTTTTACATTTGATTTGATTAAATTAATGTTTAAGTTGAGATTTATAAATATATGTTAATATATAAACATTATATTGCTACTGTTCAAAGGAAATACTGGTGATAAAAAAGCAACTTATTTGTTTAAGGTGTTTGCAAACCACATGTTATTGCACTTTTGTGTATATAGCAGTACATTTAAATTAAAAGTGTGCAATACACTACTTTAGAATTCATTATTAAATTTTGAACATGATTAATCGCGATCATTGCCCAGCACCAATATTAACATGTCCTAGCTCCCCGAAAATAAGACAAGGTGAGTTTTTAAGACATATTTCCAGGGGAAAAAAACTGTCTTATATTCGGACCAATAAGGTAATTGATTAAAAAGAATCTAAAAAATAAACGTATATCTTGCAAACAAACTGTTGGTCTTCTACTTTTTTGACAAAAAGCTCTTTTGTTTACAGCTCCATCTGCTGCTTTCTCACTGATCAGACTTTTGCTCTCATTGTCAGCTTTGTGGTCACGCCGCCAACTCTCTCGTTTGCGATGCCTGACTTTTTCTTTGCAGTTCTGACCAAGCAGGAACCTCCGTATCTGAAAAGTAAAGCCAAGGCTGAAGAACCTTAAACCTGCGTCCCCTCTAGCAGCCAGCAGGGGCGCCTTAAAGCTGCGTCCTCTCTAGCGGCCAGCAGGGGCGACTTAAACCTGCGTCCTCTCCAGCAGCCAGCAGGGGGCGACTTAAACCTGCGTCCTCTCTAGTAACCAGCAGGGGGCGCCTTAAAGCTGCGTCCTCTCTAGCGGCCAGCAGGGGGCGCCTTAAACCTGCGTCCTCTCCAGCAGCCAGCAGGGGGCGACTTAAACCTGCGTCCTCTCCAGCAACCAGCAGGGGGCGCCTTAAACCTGCGTCCTCTCTAGCAGCCAGCAGGGGGCGACTTAAACCTGCGTCCTCTCTAGCAGCCAGCAGGGGGCGACTTAAACCTGCGTCCTCTCCAGCGGCCAGCAGGGGGCGACTTAAACCTGCGTCCTCTCCAGCGGCCAGCAGGAGGCGACTTAAACCTGCGTCCTCTCCAGCAACCAGCAGGGGGCGACTTAAACCTGCGTCCTCTCCAGCAGCCAGCAGGGGGCGCCTTAAACCTGCGTCCTCTCTAGCGGCCAGCAGGGGGCGACTTAAACCTGCGTCCTCTCTACCAGCCAGCAGGGGGCGACTTAAACCTGCGTCCTCTCTAGCAGCCAGCAGGGGGCGACTTAAACCTGCGTCCTCTCCAGCAGCCAGCAGGGGGCGACTTAAACCTGCGTCCTCTCTAGCGGCCAGCAGGGGGCGACTTAAACCTGCGTCCTCTCTAGCGGCCAGCAGGGGGCGACTCCAGCGGCTGCAGAAAGAAGTGTGATTGTATAGAAGTCTGTGAGAAAATGTTTCTACTTGTCAGCTGATTTATTCCCTCAGTAAACACTTTCCTGATGAGTTTATGGTCTCAGTCTCTAGTTTCAAGTCTTCTTCAACACAGCATGATGTTCATTTAGTAAATTATGGTCCCATTTAGAGGAACAGAGACCAGGAAGCAGGGGAGGCTTTAGGGCGGGGCTACAAGCTGATTGACAACCTGTCAATCAGGATAGAGGCGACTCGTATCCGCTGCTCTGTGTACGTTTAACCAGCGCCGCTGAAAAAGCTTATTAGGAGTCGGCTGGTCATTTTTCAGTCTGCACATTTTGTTTTAAGACTGTTTGTTGCTAGCCGAAATTAGCATCCCAGCTAATAATACAGTTAACGTGAATTATGGATGCACCTTGATAACCAAGCTAACTTTCGTCATCAGAATGAGTGTGTAATCATGTGGTGGATGAATGAAATTTCAACAATTCAGTAAGAAAATTGAATCAAAAGCTATCGATGAATTGGATGTAGTCTCATGTAAATAATGTATATAGAAATATTCAAATTAGGGTGACCAGACGAGAATGGGTGAAATTCAGGACAGGGGCAGGGGGCGTGGCTACCGGTACATTCAGTGTCAATGAACATTAACACACATGAAAATCAAAACACAAAGCTAAAATTAATTATTTTTGTTCATGAAGTCACCTGTCTGTCATCAGTGGGTAAATCATGATCTTTTACCAAATTTTTATTTTTATTTTATTCATTTCAGAGTCACATCTGTCTGCACAACACGCCTGGGGCTGTTAAATGAAGTTTTATATTGTATTTGTTTTGTTTTTTTAAAGCTATGTGCTCTAATTCACACTAGGTCACCAGCCCCCTCTCGTCCCATAGTTTTAATGTTCAGTTCATTGAAACTTGGAACTACAGTAAGTCACTGTAAAAATCCAATCCTGAAGCCTTGTGACTTCAGTCAGCTGATTCCCTCCTGTCAGACACTTGTCAGGGATAAATGTCCTGATTCCTGTCCTGGGATTTCTGAGCATTTCTTTCTTTATAAAAACAGAAGAAGCAGCTGCAGGTTCAAACTTTGACCTGGTTCCCTCCCTGCTGTGTGTCGCAAGGCGTCCTCTGCAGCTGGTTTGATCAGATACCAATCCGTCTTCACACCTGGATGGTGGTGTGTTGAGTGTTATCTTATGACAGGCCGATCAGACTGGCTCTCTGCAGTAAAACAAAGCAGGCTAATAACTTGAGCTGCAGTTATCGTACGTGCAGATATCTGCAACTGAAACACGCTGCAACAGCCATTTACTTACACTTTATTTAAAGCAACCTGAGTGTCTCAGGCTGGGCTGTGATTGGCTAATTGCATCACTACAACACAACGTTGATAAAAAAGAAATGGTTCAATTTCATCTCTCAGTGCATCTCACCACCTGAAGCTCAACCTCGACAACCCCAAGCAGCTCCTCCTTCCAGGGAAGTCGTCTCCTGTCCATGAACTCTGTTGCTGCTGCAGATTCATCCTCCACAACATCACTCAGCAGGCAGAGCAGGTTCTGGTCCAGGCTCTTATCAGCTTCTGGCTAGACCACTGCAGCATGTGCCATCCGACTTCTGCAGCTTATCCTGAAGGCAGCAGTCCAGCTGGTCTTCAACTGCCCAGGGTCAACCCATCCACGCCGTCCCATCCACTACGTTATGACAAATGACGAGTGTGCAAAGCTGTCGTCAAAGCAAAGGTGGCTACATTGAAGAACTACTTGAACACTTTTTTGTTTACTACATAAATCCATGTGTTCTTTCATAGTTTTGATGTCTCCAGTATTAATTCTACAATGTAGAAAATAATAGAAATAAAGAAAAAACATTGAATGGGAAGGTGTGTCCAAACCTTTCACTGGGAGTGCATCTGCCGTTTGAGTAAAAGCAGGGCTGGATTGGTAATCTGGCATATCGGGCAAATGCCCATCACCTGCAGTGCCCGACGTTTTTGAAAACACTTGTTAAAATGTTCTGAAAAATAGCTCGCACCAAAAAGGTTTATTTGCACAATAAGCCTGCAATGCAATGTAAATATAGAAGAAAACTGTGTGTTGTCCAAAAAAATCACCTCCTACTCCTGAACCCAGAGGTCCCCAGATAGTCCTAAACGTTTATGGCAAAACCAGGGTCAGTTTTTGTTTTAAATTATTGACATAGTATGATGACTAATAATATACCATACCATTGAAATATTATAAAAAAAAATAAAAAACTATGACTTGTTGAAATGAGTTTACATTTAGATTTATTTTTACAGCTGAACCAAAGCCACTCTGCTCTGATTGGCTAGTAATCCTTAACTAGGAACTCCCAACAAAGATCATTTAGAGACTAGATGTATCACTCCATAGCTAAAACGAAGCCTTCAACACAGGCTGAAAAGAGGAGCTGCAGCAATGTGCAGTATGGTTCTGGTACAACCCCTAAATAGGATTTTGAACCTGAAAATGAGCAGAATACCACCTCCTTAAATATTCTTTGGCAGCTTGCACGCTGCAGAACCAGCTGAAAGTACAACCTTGTAAAGTAATCTTCATCAAACAGCTGCTTTCTTCCACATGCAGCAGACACCGAGCATCCCGTCCAAGCTGTGTTCGTGTTCACCTGATGTGGAAGGAGGCAACTGATGAAGATGTTGTGTTCACACACCAGTGGCCAAACAAATCAGATAATGCAAGTCAGTCATGGTGCTACAAGGATTCAATGTTCTTCAGTCACAGATACTGCAGGCTATAATCAATTTCAGGAACCACATGAGAATCAAATCACAGCTTTTCTCAGTCGCTTTGGTTCATTTCTCAGATCAGAAGTGAAAGTACTTGTTCAGTCTCCACATCATGACCTCGTCACACACTTGCAAATGTTTTAGCACATTAATGCAAATGATTATCTGAAACATCACGTTTCGTACATTTTAAAACATTAACTGTGAATCCTGTCCAATCTCTTGCAATGTGTACCTTTGTACTGTTGAAATTAATGTATGCAGAATAAAGTGCAGCCTTGTCATCCAAACTTCAAGGATAAATCAGAAAACACTTACAGAGTACACTGTGATACTGACAACACAGTAAACACTTTGGGTCACTTGTTTGTAACCAATCACACGAGGACTCATCATTCTGATGCACTGACACGAACACTGACACAAAGATGTACTTTTGAGAGGATTTTAAGCCAGTTACAGTCTAACCCACCGCATGACTCAAGAAATGCACCAAAGCGAATGAGAAAAACTGTAACTGAGTGAGTACAAAAAGAACCCAGCACGTTCTCACTGCCGACCCCTCACACACGGACGCTTGGTCAGACCCCTGGGCGTCGCTTTTGAACGCCCTGTGTACTCTTTAGCATTCTTTTCCAACGTTTAGGGCTCTGCAGTCAAGTTAGCAAGGATAAATATGCAACATCCTGTTAGACTTTAAAAAGAAAGTACTTAATGTCACGAAACATCGCTATTTTGCAGTGGTCGACCCCTTCTCACTCTCAACTTGTCACATGCATGGTCAAGACCCGCCGACATCAGTTCATAACGCGCTAGGGAGCCCCTTACCGTCATAGTTCAAAGCAGTGGGGGAAGCCCTGTAGCGGTAAAGATATATTTAACAGAAAGGACAGAGTAACATGTAATACACTTACATTTTAACTGACGTACGTTGTTATTTTAACGCAAACCATTATCTTACCTAACCAGGTACTTTTATTGCCCAAACCAAATTGCAACATTTCACAATTTTCACAACGTGCCGTTTCAAGATGGCGATGTTTAGCAGCGTTAAAGGTTTATTTTGAAAGTCTAACCGGACGTTATTATTGCATATTTATTGTTGCTAACCGTTGCAAACTTGACTGCAGAGCCCTAAACGTCGATAACTTTACATTTATTCATTTAGCTGACACTTTTATCCAAAGCGACTTACAATGGCTATACATGTCAAAGGTCACACGCCTCTGGAGCAACGAGGGGTTAAGCGTCTTCTTGCTCAGGGACACATTGGTGTCTCGCAGTGGATTCGAACCCCCGTCAGCGTTGCAAACGAGATTGTTGCAAACAGAATTGTTCACATGCTTCGAGTACTTTGCGCGTACTAGGAGGATTAAACGTGAATCCACCAGGGGGCAGATCAGGACCGGCTCACCCCTCGCTGACACCGGATCATAGTCCTTGACAACCTTCGAATTTGTAAACAAAGCAAACATAGCGACACTCGGGCAGGTTGTGATTTTAATAAGACATCATAAAGATCTTGGTAATTGCGGTCCAGCTCCAGGAATTCCCGCCATTAATCTCCTTTTTTAAGTCTAGAGCGAGTTCCGCTCATGATCATGGTTTGGGTTAAAATAACTACATTATGGATGTCAACTTACGTAACTTCAAATAAAAACATTCAATGTTAACTTCTTGTTTCACACCGAATGAACGCTTGGTTGAAAGTCGGCCCACCGTCCTACGCAACCACCTCCTTACTCAGACCTTTCTGTTAAATATCCCAGACCTACCTTTAGGGTATCTTGATCTTGGGATGGTGAGAACGGGTTGAACAAAAAGCGTTGTTACTTAAAAAGTCACAAACAACTAAAACTAAAAAGGGTTTTATCCTCAAAGTGGATTTCTCGTGTAAACGCGGGTTGAACACTGACCATGAATAATCTTGTGCTTTGAAGTCTGTTCACACATCTAGAATGAAAACTGCAGAGTTCACCACAAACTACGATGGTATCAGTCAGCTCATCAACCGAGAATCAAACTATTCTAAAAACAAAAAGTAATTCAGAAACAAGTTCAGTTACAGAGGAGACACAAACATTTAAAACATTTGGAAGACACGCTGAACTGAACGAATGTCTTTGCGATTACAAGAAAACGGAGGTTCAGATGAGTCAATCTAACTTTGGAGCTAATTACATCGTCACAACATAAACTGATGTATCTGCAAGTTAAATGAAGTCACACTAACTTACTTTAAATTCAAAAAAGGAAATCCCATATTAATAAAAATAAAAACATGTTGATTGTTCAAATATCTTGTGGTAACAGTCTCTCTATTTTAATGGCTGATTTCTGATTGGTTTACACTTTTTACTGAATCCTCCCTGAGTTTTGTTCAACATCCCGATCCTTCCCTACAGAGTTACATATCTTTATCTTCAGGGTGTTTTGTGGAGGATGGAGTCGGAAGGTTTCCTCTCAGGCTGCTGACGTCGTTCAGGAAAAAGGCTCAGTCCTCTTCGTTCAGTCCATGACTCCATCGCTCCCTGCTCCACTGTGAGTCGGACAAACAGCAAACACACTAACGTCATCCCTTCACACACTCAAATCTTCTGTCCCTCCTTCTCTCTTTTTAGAACGTCCTCTCTGATTCTTCCTGCAGGACCGGAGGGGCCCTTGGAGGCCATCTTGTTTCCGGCTCACAGATGGGAGGAGGTGGAGAAGCAGAGTTTCAGGGTGAAGGGGGTGGAGCTGTCTGCAGGTCAGAGAACACACTGTCAGTCTGCAGTCATAAACATGATGAATGTATTTAACAAACATCAGGTGAACGCCTGACATCTAGTGGAGAGTGCAGGTACGTTCATTCCTGTTCATTTTCAAATGTGCCTATTTCGATTATCCTCCATATCTGAAAGAACTCTTGGTTCCTTGTAGTTCTACATATTCACTTAGAGATATGCAAGATCTTTTCTTTTAAAGTTGATTTGATTGATCGCCTCGCCCTGATTGGTCTGTTGAGCACTTACTGGGTATTCTGATCTGGTGGTGGTTGAGGACGGTCAGAGTCTCCACAGCTTCAGTTTTACTGTCAAACTCCAGCAGACCGGACAGAGTCTTGGAGCTGGCTGCTGGGATGAGGAGGGAGGAAAATGATGAAGTAGAAGTGTTTATTTCTAAAGCTCCTGGTCTGCTGTGTAATTATTTAAACTCACGTTTGGCGTCGAACACCTTGAACTTGGTGAAGGCGGGAACGTTGTGTTCAGTACAGAGCTGCAGAGTAGAAAGAGATAAGAGAGGCTGTTTTTAATGAGCTAAAGAAATTCTGCTTCCTCTTCTCTCCTTTTCCAGTTTATTTCCACCCGGCAGTATAGTATCGAGAGGTGGAGGTGGTGAGTGCAAAGTCAGGGTGAACCGTAGAGCCACAGCAGACACATTTATGGGAAACATGTCAGAGGTTTCCTTGAACCAATGTGAATATGGTCTGTTATGTTTCATAATTTGGAAAGTTTACCTCATCCATCTTTGGCGAGGACTTGATTTGAAGCTGGTTATGAGATGAGAAAGTAACTGAGTACATTTACTCAAGTACCGTACAAATATGAGGTACCTGTACTTTGCTGGAGTATTTTCTTTTCACGCCACTTCCTACTTCTACTGCATCTCAGAGGGAGATGTTGTACTTTTTACTTCACTACATTTATCTGACAGCTTCAGTTTTTACACATAAAACACATGAAGAGTTTATAAAATATGATGTTTAGTTATAAATTAAACTCCAGTCTAGTAGTCCAAGTACAGCTGAAACAGAAAATTAAAACTAATTTGATTGTTAAGTCACTTTTCATGTAAAAACGTTTCCTGTGAAGATTTGCTGCTTTTCATTTGAATTATTAAAAAAAATTGAATGTTTGGAGGTTTGGACTGTTGGCTGGACAAAACAAATCATTGTAAAGGCGTCACTTTGGGCTCTGCGAACTGTGACAACATTGTTTTTACAATCAATAAATTGATTAATGGAGAAAATAATCAGCAGATTGATCCAGAGTTAAAAGTCTAAACAGCATCCTGCTTTACATAAATGATGAGGACTAATAATAATAGAATCACAGGGGACATTTTACTGCATTATAATTACATACTTCAAGTAGCATTTTCACTGCAGTACTTTTACTTGTAACAGACTATTTTTACAGTGTGGTTAGTTAGTTTACTGAAATAAAGGATCTGAATACTTCGTCCACCACTGGAGATGAGAAGCACTTCACAGACCTGCGTGATGCAGAGAAAACAATATCTGAATATTCAACACGACAAGACGCCAGTAAAGTCATGTCTCCTCAGCGAAGGTGTCCCGCAGATATACTGGGCCCCATCAAAGCTAATCTTCCTCTGTTGAATCCCCTCTCGCAGGTGTGACCTCACCTTGTGCAGCTGGTGTTGGCTGAGGGTGGGCGGGGCGTTGTAGAAGTGCAGGACGGCGGCGGGCGGCTGGATGATGTTCCTGCTGCTCTGCGCGCTGCTGAAGCGGTTGTTTCTGGTCAGACTGAAGTCCTGGTAGCTGCTGCTGCCGTCGGTCAGCTCGAACACCTGGCTGGGAATCACCGCCTGCTGCTTGGACACGCTGAGAGGTGAAGTGGGGGGGGGGGGTTGACACAAGGCAAATGTAAAGATCTTTAAGAATGAAGTTTTACTGAGCACAGTCGACACAGCGTCCTGTCAGCTGAGTGGTCTGAGGACGCAGTTTTCGTTTGTCACAATGAGGCAGTCAAGTTTACATGTTTTATCTTAAATAACAGCTTCAAAATCATTTTAATGCTACACTGACTTATAACAGGGTGAATGGCGTCTCTGTCGTTTCCTCTCCGGGCTCAGAGCGCCATCTACTGCGCTCTGTAACACTGGAAAACCCAGCAGGACATTCATCACGGCAGCAGAGTGACGCTTTACGGCACCAACACGACTCTTCAGCGAGCCACAAGCAGCAAGTATATAATGTACAGTGTGAGATCTTTGGAAGAAGCTAGCTCGGTATTCTCAGTGTGGATATCATGGCAGACGCTGAAGAGACCGAAGAAGACGAGGAGGAAGAGAAAAAGAGCCGGACTTCTTTCTGTTGGACTAGTCTAGACATCTTATACGATGTTGCTTTAACCTTTAAGCACATTTCCAGAAGATCAGGCAGAAGAGAATTTGACCTGCTGCTGCTGCTGTGAGAACACGAGCTCATTGGCTGACACAGCGAGGTGACGTCATTAAAAGTGTCAAACGACGGGATGTGGAGAACATGATGGCATCAGATGTTTCTATTAGCTTCATGTGTGAACGTGAGGAAGGTCACAGCCTCGTCATCGCTCCGCACTCAGGTGATGTGCTCTTCACTTTCAGGCTCTGCTTCGTGCACGTTTATCCAGCGAGGCTGTTTCTGTTTATCCACAAACGTCTTTCACAACTCAGACAACAGGAAGCTCTTGGTTTGATTGTTTTTCTGGTGTTTCCGTTCAGGGTTTTTTATGAACAACAATGTGAGTCAGTGTTTTGTAATTATTTCCTATCTTTTAACCATCTCACAGACAATCTGAAACGTCTTATATCAGCAGCAGTTACTGAGTGATCTTGTCGCCACCTGACCCCGGCCCCCGGCCCCCGGCCCCCGGCCCCGGCCCCCGGCCCCCACCTTGTGTCCTAACTGTTGTCTGAAAGTTATCAGCACTCACCAGACGTTGAGTTTTTGGCCGAACACCTTGATGCTGTTGAGGTGAGTCACGGCTCGGTCCACGGCGTACTCGTCTCCCATCTCCACCAACGCCGTGCCGGGAACACTCTTCATGAACTTCACCTGCAACCAATCAGGTTTCAGCTTTTTTTAAAGGGGTCAGGTGACTCAACACGTCAACACGATGGTTTTTCCTGCCTGTCCCGGCACACACACCTTCTCCACGTTGCCGTACAGACAGAAGAGGTTGAAGATGCAGCTGCAGTTCATCTTGGCGGGATGGAGGCCGCTCACCATGGCGACTGAGCTGGAGGCGGCGTGGCCCCTAAAGGAGGACGAGTAGGAGGAGGAGGAGGAGGTCTTAGGGAGGAGCAGCGGGTAGGAGACCATGTCCTGCACCTCCTCACTGCTCCTCCTGTACCTGCTGTTAGCAGGCAGAGGCAGCAGGGGGCAGTGTTGGCCTGGAGAGACACAAACACTGATTAAAAACACCAAAGGTCGGTGATGATGACACAGCTCGACGAGGGAGGCAGATTTACCGTAGCCGTTGGATGGATGCTCTCCCAGGATGGCCTGCCGCTGCCTCCCCTTTCCCCGCTCTGCAACACACAAACACAGAAGTTCAGCAGAGTGTGACCCACATGAGGCCGGAGCAGCAGGAGGTGAAAGTGAGCGCTCACACTCTGATGAGCCTGAAAATCTATTTTCAGCAGCCTCAGCAGCTTCAGCAGCTTCAGCAGCTTCAGCAGCCTCAGCAGCTTCAGCAGCCTCAGCAGCTTCAGCAGCTTCAGCCTACTCAGCAGCCTCAGCAGCTTCAGCCTACTCAGCAGCCTCAGCAGCTTCAGCAGCCTCAGCAGCTTCAGCAGCTTCAGCCTACTCAGCAGCCTCAGCAGCTTCAGCAGCCTCAGCAGCTTCAGCAGCTTCAGCCTACTCAGCAGCCTCAGCAGCTTCAGCAGCCTCAGCAGCCTCAGCAGCTTCAGCAGCCTCAGCAGCTTCAGCAGCCTCAGCAGCCTCAGCAGCTTCAGCAGCTTCAGCAGCCTCAGCAGCTTCAGCAGCCTCAGCAGCCTCAGCAGCTTCAGCAGCCTCAGCAGCCTCAGCAGCTTCAGCAGCCTCAGCAGCTTCAGCAGCTTCAGCAGCCTCAGCAGCTTCAGCAGCTTCAGCAGCCTCAGCAGCTTCAGCAGCTTCAGCAGCCTCAGCAGCCTCAGCAGCTTCAGCAGCCTCAGCAGCCTCAGCAGCTTCAGCAGCTTCAGCAGCTTCAGCAGCTTCAGCAGCTTCAGCAGCCTCAGCAGCTTCAGCAGCTTCAGCAGCCTCAGCAGCCTCAGCAGCTTCAGCAGCCTCAGCAGCTTCAGCAGCTTCAGCAGCTTCAGCAGCTTCAGCAGCTTCAGCAGCTTCACCACCTCCAGGCTGCAGTTTAATCTTTGAGTTTGTTTCGGTGGTTTTCTCCTGTTCCTCACTCATTTTCAAGTTTTCGTTGAACACTAACGGGGGCGGGGCCTACTTCAAGCAATTAAAAAGTTGAATTCTTGGAGTTAATACGCATTGCAATGCTGAAAAAAATATATCGTGCAGCCCTGGTTAGTACTTCCTGACTGACTGTCAGTCTCGCTGTTTTGCAGCTCATTTAATCAGATGCTTCAGGCTACAACAGGATGCGAATGTGTTTCACCCTTAGCAACAGCAAACACCAACTCCAACAGTCCATCTGTAACATCATCATTACCACAGACTGACCGAGATAAATGTTAGAGGTCACATGTCAGCAGGATGGAGCTCAAGACTTTACGTGTTGAAGTTTGGGGCTGAATCACAATTTGTTTAGGGTTTTTTTCTACAAAAAGCAGCAAGACTAAAACATGGCTGAAATATCATATTTTTTAGGGCTTAAGGAGTTTGACCAGTAATAATAAAAGACCTGCACCACCTGCGAGGGTGCATTACATTCAAAACATGCAGGTTTTTCCACACAGCAATACCTTTATTTTAACAGGCAAGTTATTTAAGAAAAGATTCTTTTTTAGGCCTCCTGGAAGGAACGGGGATAAATAGCATAAACAGAAGACGGAAGACAAAGGACAACAACAGACCTTAATAAAAATAGGTACAGAGACACAAAGAAACCAAATGATAGACTAATAAAACACAAAGAAACATGATAACAGACAACGACATATGCTGATCTACAGAGAGCTGACGATACAACTGATGGTACAGTTAAGTGTGCAGGAGGAAGGCTTTAGAGTAATCCCAGCTGCTTAATGATGCTGTTCTGACCGACAATTTTGCATTGATTATTGACAAATATAGATAATTATTGACAATTACCTCCCGTCCACTCTGTAGGGCAAGAGCCAGAAAGTAAAAAACATAAAAATAAAAAGTGTGCTACATGTTGCTGTGTCGTCAGTGTAACGTGATAATGTCCCAAAGTGCTGTCACATCCCTGTTTGGAGCTCTTGGAGCCTCTTGCTCTCAATCACTCACCAGGTGACGCAATTTAAATCGGGGGTTTGACCCCCATCTGTGTTGGGGATTAACACTTATTGTTCCTGTGAGGGCAGAACAGCCTGCACCTTCATGGAGCTCATGGTGAAAGCATATTATTCCCATTATAGCTCCGCCCACCTGAACAACACCTGAGAACACCTGTGTGTGTGTGTGTGTGTGTGTGTGTGTGTGTGTGTGCTGTCCTACCTCGCTGCAAGAGGAAGGGTTTGGTGTAATCCCAGCTGCTGTTGTCATTGCGGACGACGTTCAGTCTGTTGGGCTGCAGGGGGCGACAGAGCACAGCACCTCTGGGTGGGTGTGTGTGCGTGGGCATGAGAGTGAGGGTGTGTATGTGTGCATGCACCTGAGTGTGTGTTTGTCCAGAGCCCTGTGTGTGTGTGTGTGTGTGTGTGTGTGTGTGTGTGTGTGTGTGTGTGGTTACCCGAGCGTATTCGATCTTGAGCGTGCAGCAGCCGGCGTAGATGTCGGCTCCGTTCAGAGCCAGTTTGGCCTTCATGGCGTCCTCCACAGACTCAAACGTTAACGAGCTCATTAAGGATGACTCATCAGGATGACTGGAAAAGCAGCCAATCAGAGGAAAGAAACAAGACCAACAACAACATCCTCAAGGAGGTCAGCTGGAGTTAATCTAAATTTGATCTTGAAGTCCATTAAGCTTTAATGCCAACCCGTTCTCACTCCCAAGTCGTCACATGTGGACGCATCATCAAGACCAGCTGCCGTCAGTTTGTAACGCACTGGGGGAAACCTCGTAGCGTTGTTCTTTCACGCTAAAGGTAGGCGTAGGTAACAGTAAAGAGTAAGGAGGTGGTTATGGTGGGTGGCCAGAAACTGGACTTTCAACCAGGAGTTCGGTGTTCGTTTCCCGTGTGAAACAAAAAATCTAATTGTTCCTTAACTTACGTCAGTTAAGTCACGTAAGTAACAATGTTTTTCAAAATGATAGTATTTTTATAGCGCCTTTCACAGGACCCAAGGACACTTTACACATAATTGCAGAGACAGAGCTACAAAAAGTCATTCAGGGTTGAATGCCTTTGTGAAGAGGTGGGTTTTTAGGAGTTTTTTGAAGGTGTCCAGAGAGGGAGCATTTCGGATCTCTGTGGGGATGGAGTTCCAGAGGGTGGGGGCTGCGACGCCGAAGGCTCTGTCCCCAAAAGTCCGCAGTCTGGTGTGGGGGACAGAGAGCAGGCCCTTGTCGGTGGACCACAGGTTCCGTGAGGGGGAGTAGGGGTGGATAAGGTCCAGTAGGTACTGGGGGGCAGTGGCATGGAGAGATTTATAGGTGAGGAGTAGGATTTTGTAGGTGATGCGGAATTTGACCGGGAGCCAGTGAAGCTGAGTGAGTATTGGGGTGATGTGCTGCCACGACCTAGTGTGAGTGAGAACCCGGGAAGCCGAGTTCTGGACATATTGCAGCCTGTCCAGGACCTTGCTGGGTACCCCATACAGGACACCATTACAGTAGTCCAGGCGGGAGGTGATGAAGGCATGGATCTCTGCCACAGAGTCTAAGAGTGATGGTCGAAGTCTGGAGATGTTTTTGAGGTGGTAGAAGGCAGACCTTGTAATGAGTTTGACATGTGACTGGAATGAGAGGGTGGAGTCCGAAATGACACCAAGGTTGCGGACTTCTTGGGATGGAGAGATGGAGCAACCATCCACTTTGAAGAGTAGATCACCTACCCTCTGGAGGAGCAGCTTGGGAGCCACCACCATTAGCTCTGTTTAGTTTGAGTAGGTTAGATGACATCCAGGTTTTTATTTCATTCAGACAGTTAACACGTGACTGAGGGGTGAGCTGAGTGGATTTGGCGCTATTACGATACAGCTGTGTGTCATCAGCATAACAGTGGAGACAGGACCATGGTGGTGGATTATCTAATACGTCACCTAAAACCTAACCAAATTGTAACGTTTCACAACATTTTAGAACGTGAACAACGTTCTGTTTGATAACATTAACATGTACTTTTATTTTAGAGTATAACTGGACATTGCATATGTATTGTTACGCTATGCTAAACGTTACCCAGGGCGTCAAAAAGCAACACCATGGGGTGTTGACCAAGCATCCATATGTGCTGAGTCTGGAGTGAGAACGTGTTGTTAACCCTCCTGTGCTCATCATCATGGTAAAGTTCAGCTCTAAACTGAACTTTAAAACGTCTCTTCTGATCTGAGAAATACTTCAAACATATGTACAAGTGCACACACACACACGGTCAGGATATTCCACCATGGCCTGGATGCCGTTGCGTTTGAAGATGACGATGCGCAGGACGCTACCGACGGGGTTGCAGACGGTGTACAGGACATCCTGCCAGAGAGAGAGAGAGACAGAGAGAGAGACCATAGCTATGACTGCCAGTACATCACACAGGAAGAATAACCAAATGCAGATTTTCTTCAAACTAATTGCAGAGTTTACGCAGGCGGAGTGGAAATAGTTCAAGTGAAGGAGGTTCTAACATCTGTGAAACAGGTAAAGGAAGTTCTGGTAGAGGAGACTTACGGTGGTGACGGGGTACAGCGGGTTCTGGATGGAGAGCAGCAGAACCTTGTTCCCGCTGGTGGGGTCGTCTGCGTTGGTGGGTCTGGTGATCCGCTGGCTGGTGGAGAAGTTGAAGAAGGCCTGCTGGTCGGCGATACAGACGCTTCCAGACGACACGCAGCGCTCGGCGCTCTCCACGCTGTCAAACTCCACCAGAGCCTGGCGCTTAAACGGCATCATCATCACGTAGCTGTAGACAGAGCGAGCAGACAGGGGAGGAGCTCAGGTGTCTGCGTTTAACATACAGGCAAGGGCGTCATTTTGTGTTGAAAAACGATGGGGGTGGTTGTTTTCTGAAGCTTTAAAAGAGACTTTTACAAAGTTGGCTCAAACTGTTTTGCAAAAAAAAAAGTAGTTGATTTGTTTACTGTTTTGAAAGCACTGATGTGACTATTGATTCATTTTTTTTATTAATTACTGTACATAATATTTACAAATTACCATCAGAAGTTACCAAAATGATGATTTCAAACAAGTCAAGGTTACCAGTGGAAATGTATTTGAGAGTTTGCACCACTAAAGGTCAGTATCCTGTGGTGTCTCCATCAACTTTATCACTTTAGTTTATACTTGATCTTTCCCAGATATTAGATTTAAGTTACCACAAACTAACAGACACAGAAAACATGGAGCAGGACTTGGAGCTATCCCAGAGATCAGTACTGGTTGGTTTCTGGTCTCTGTGCTGAATACAATGAAGCTTCCTCCACAGAGTGCTGAGTGCTCTGTTCTCAGATAGGCTAATCTAACTGCTTCAAGTTTATAATTAAACAAGGAATCTGTTAGCTAACTGCTATTCCAGGCAACAAAAACACACTTGAATTAGAAATATATTTTTTCTGCTTTCTCATCATCTCATGACCCCCCACATATATATCTTGTTTTAAAGGGTAATTTTGGAATTTTTCACATATTTTGTTGTAGAAGTGACTAGACAATCTCACCGCTAATAGGCGTTCGCAACATCGCGTCAAGTGAATTTGAACTCGCGCGAACCAGCGAATGTTGGGACAAACACCTCTTTCGCGCCACCCAGAGTGAATTCGCAGGAATACACGTCTTTGCACTGATTTTGTGTGTAATCAAGCTGCCCAAAACGCTGGATTCGCTTTCGGTGTGAACGCACCTTTATGCATCACTGAAATTATGCATTTTAGAGCAGAAACCATCACGTCATACTTCTATGAATGGAAGACAGACAGGCTTCAACTCCCATTGTGGGTTTGGACAGAGCAGTGGGAGAGATACAAAACGGGAAGTCCATTCATCAGGTGGTGCAGGACATATGATAAACAGGGTGACTTGAAAGCGATACAATGAAGTGAAACAACTAGGAGACATAGCTGCAATGTTTCATTGCTAAATGCAATTAAATGTTGGGAACTGGGGTTTGAGTTTGCATAATAAAATGCCATTGATGTAAACTTACCCCTCATATGAGGGGTAAGTTGAGCCAAGAGTCCACTTTCTTTTTGGAAAGCCAGATTTTTTGAAGAACGTTTATTTTAAATTTAAACTTATTATTCCCAGGGATGCACCACATGCTAAAATATATGTACATATTTTAGTTGCAGATCTTACTGTCATGTCCTCCCTTTAAAGACACATCAAGTAAAAAATGGCTCAACTCACCCCGCTCTCCCCTACATTTCAGCCACTGCAGCCAGCTGAAGCGTTTACAGAGATTCAAAACCTTTTGAAACCTACGAGTCATTCCAGCACCACCATATGTGGAAACAGTCCCCAGGGTTTGTTACTGGAGTCTTCAGAAACACTTTTTTCCTACCAGGTTGTGTAGAAAATGATAAATGTATGGATGACAATGATAAACTAAAACAACAAACATTTCAGCCAGTGTTTATATAATCCTCTTCACTCTGCCTCTGCAGCCTCCAAGACAATGTGTCTTTCAATGATCTGTTCAACATGATGACACTGTGATCATGAGGATTTGTATGATGACGGTTTTCAGACAAAGCAGAGCAGCAGAGGTGCTGAGATGCATTAAAACCAGATTAGCTGCAGACAGAGCAGCAGAGGCTTTGTTGTGGTGAGTGTGTCTAAACCAGGTTGTTCTGAAGGTCAGCAGAAACGCAGCAGACCGCACAGTGTGCACCTAAATAACAACCAGCCGTTGGTGAATACACCCAGCAGCCATTTCCTCTGAGCGCCCCTTTTATTTCTGCCTCATCTGTGTCGAGCATGTCAGTATTTAAAAGGTGAAGGAACGTGTAGTCAGTAATTTAAAATGTTACCAGATGTTGCCGAACTTGTCGAGTCCCTCCACCAGATCAGCCTCCACCACGGCGTCGCAGAGCCCTCGGACGTGGACGACCGGGGACGGGGGGATGCGGTGGCTGTCCCCCGCACCATCCTGCAGAGACAAGAGAAGTCCTTAGTTAGTTTAGTTAGACACCAGGTGTGTCTGTGTTTCATAACGGAAGAATCATTTTATTTCTTCTTTATTCGTCCATGTTGCTTTCATTTCATCTGTAACTGTGACACACTTTGTCTATAAAGTAAATCACTATACATTCCTGTCTGACTACTAATAATGATGATTGGAATATCAATATCACCAGTAACGGTTTACATTTACACTACCAGTCAAAGGTTTTATAGCTCCCCCAGTGAGTCCAGTGAAAATCCTTAAATGGAACCAAAGTAAGCAGCAAACCGTCAAAGCTAAAAACAACGTTTACGTCACTAAAAATTTTCAGATATAAAATTAACAATTAAATCAAATAATTTGTTCATTCTTTCACTGTAGAACTGCTCTGTCTTCCTTAATTAATATTATATACATATATATAAATTGTACAAATAAAGCTTCTGAAGGTGCATTAACAGGTGGTTCCAAGAAAAGAACGTTGGCTGCGACCTGGTGTTGGTTTGGCGCCATAAAGATAGAAAAACAAGACCACACACACACACACACACACGAGCATCTGTTGTGAAACAAGATCTGAGAAGTCAGGACAGGAAGGCAGATAACAGAGACAGATGCCCCCCCCCCCTCCTCCTCTGCATCACAGAGTCATCTCTGTGCAGCAACAAATGTGCAAACTAGCTTACAGCATCAAAGCAGATGTTTGTCACAGTGCAGGTGGCGACTAAGTAAGAATACTCTTTTCTCAGCCATACGGTCCGCTCAGAATGGTTAACACTGACCACAGCCTGTTCTGCGCTCTGGTGTTTGCAGCAATGAAGGTTTTGAGGTCAATAAAGGGAAAAACAAACTTGCAGGTTTGTTGATGATCAGCTGCAGCAGTTGGATGGAATCCGGATATTCATTTTCCCAATGGTGGAAATTAACTTATGATTAAGTACCGACATGCAATTATTAGTTGAGTATTTCCTTTTCAGAGGGAAATCTTGTAGGCTACTTGTATTGCTCTACAGATTTCTGGAAAAAACAGCAACACGTTCTTAGAAATTAAACCAGGTTCTGAATCTTTTTGTCTTGTGTGACGTCTTCTTCAAAATCAGTGTGTCTCCTCGTCATGTTTTAGAGTCATTGAGTTGTTATCAGTTCGACCCATAGACTGTTTAAAAAGGTTCCACCAAGGAGACACTTCTCCTCTAAACGTCGCAGATGGTTTCATTTTAATAACTGTTCAAAAGAAAAGTCCAATAACTGAAAACAGACGTGCAGATTAATCTGCTAATCCTTTGGACAGACCTGACCGCTTGTTTGGGAACCACTGGACTAAACTGACTGTACTTAAGTACTTAAAAACTAGCTAACTGTATATTCTGAAGTCAAAACTAGCTGTACAAAGTATTTAAAACTAGCTAACCATATATAAAATACTTAAAACTAGGTAGATATAAATAAAATACTTAAAACTAGCTAACCATATAAAGTAAGTACTTGTGTACTCTTAGAGCTGATAGTTTAAGTACATGAAGCTGATAGTACTTGTGTACTCTTAGAGCTGATAGTTTAAGTACATGAAGCTGATAGTACTTGTGTACTCTTAGAGCTGATAGTTTAAGTACATGAAGCTTATAGTACTTGTGTACTCTTAGAGCTGATAGTTTAAGTACATGAAGCTGATAGTACTTGTGTACTCTTAGAGCTGATAGTTTAAGTACATGAAGCTGATAGTACTTGTGTACTCTTACTGCTGATAGTTTAAGTACATGAAGCTGATAGTACTTGTGTACTCTTACTGCTGATAGTTTAAGTACATGAAGCTGATAGTACTTGTGTACTCTTACTGCTGATAGTTTAAGTACATGAAGCTGATAGTACTTGTGTACTCTTACTGCTGATAGTTTAAGTACATGAAGCTGATAGTACTTGTGTACTCTTAGAGCTGATAGTTTAAGTACATGAAGCTTATAGTACTTGTGTACTCTTAGAGCTGATAGTTTAAGTACATGAAGCTGATAGTACTTGTGTACTCTTAGAGCTGATAGTTTAAGTACATGAAGCTGATAGTACTTGTGTACTCTTACTGCTGATAGTTTAAGTACATGAAGCTTATAGTACTTGTGTACTCTTACTGCTGATAGTTTAAGTACATGAAGCTGATAGTACTTGTGTACTCTTACTGCTGATAGTTTAAGTACATGAAGCTGATAGTACTTGTGTACTCTTAGAGCTGATAGTTTAAGTACATGAAGCTGATAGTACTTGTGTACTCTTACTGCTGATAGTTTAAGTACATGAAGCTTATAGTACTTGTGTACTCTTACTGCTGATAGTTTAAGTACATGAAGCTGATAGTACTTGTGTACTCTTAGAGCTGATAGTTTAAGTACATGAAGCTGATAGTACTTGTGTACTCTTAGAGCTCATAGTTTAAGTACATGAAGCTGATAGTACTTGTGTACTCTTACTGCTGATAGTTTAAGTACATGAAGCTGATAGTACTTGTGTACTCTTAGAGCTGATAGTTTAAGTACATGAAGCTGATAGTACTTGTGTACTCTTACTGCTGATAGTTTAAGTACATGAAGCTTATAGTACTTGTGTACTCTTACTGCTGATAGTTTAAGTACATGAAGCTGATAGTACTTGTGTACTCTTAGAGCTGATAGTTTAAGTACATGAAGCTGATAGTACCTGTGTACTCTTACTGCTGATAGTTTAAGTACATGAAGCTGATAGTACTTGTGTACTCTTAGAGCTGATAGTTTAAGTACATGAAGCTGATAGTACTTGTGTACTCTTAGAGCTCATAGTTTAAGTACATGAAGCTTATAGTACTTGTGTACTCTTACTGCTGATAGTTTAAGTACATGAAGCTTATAGTACTTGTGTACTCTTAGAGCTGATAGTTTAAGTACATGAAGCTGATAGTACTTGTGTACTCTTACTGCTGATAGTTTAAGTACATGAAGCTGATAGTACTTGTGTACTCTTAGAGCTGATAGTTTAAGTACATGAAGCTGATAGTACTTGTGTACTCTTAGAGCTGATAGTTTAAGTACATGAAGCTGATAGTACTTGTGTACTCTTAGAGCTGATAGTTTAAGTACATGAAGCTTATAGTACTTGTGTACTCTTAGAGCTGATAGTTTAAGTACATGAAGCTGATAGTACTTGTGTACTCTTAGAGCTGATAGTTTAAGTACATGAAGCTGATAGTACTTGTGTACTCTTACTGCTGATAGTTTAAGTACATGAAGCTGATAGTACTTGTGTACTCTTACTGCTGATAGTTTAAGTACATGAAGCTGATAGTACTTGTGTACTCTTACTGCTGATAGTTTAAGTACATGAAGCTGATAGTACTTGTGTACTCTTACTGCTGATAGTTTAAGTACATGAAGCTGATAGTACTTGTGTACTCTTAGAGCTGATAGTTTAAGTACATGAAGCTGATAGTACTTGTGTACTCTTACTGCTGATAGTTTAAGTACATGAAGCTGATAGTACTTGTGTACTCTTAGAGCTGATAGTTTAAGTACATGAAGCTGATAGTACTTGTGTACTCTTACTGCTGATAGTTTAAGTACATGAAGCTTATAGTACTTGTGTACTCTTACTGCTGATAGTTTAAGTACATGAAGCTTATAGTACTTGTGTACTCTTACTGCTGATAGTTTAAGTACATGAAGCTGATAGTACTTGTGTACTCTTAGAGCTGATAGTTTAAGTACATGAAGCTGATAGTACTTGTGTACTCTTACTGCTGATAGTTTAAGTACATGAAGCTTATAGTACTTGTGTACTCTTACTGCTGATAGTTTAAGTACATGAAGCTGATAGTACTTGTGTACTCTTAGAGCTGATAGTTTAAGTACATGAAGCTGATAGTACTTGTGTACTCTTAGAGCTCATAGTTTAAGTACATGAAGCTGATAGTACTTGTGTACTCTTACTGCTGATAGTTTAAGTACATGAAGCTGATAGTACTTGTGTACTCTTAGAGCTGATAGTTTAAGTACATGAAGCTGATAGTACTTGTGTACTCTTACTGCTGATAGTTTAAGTACATGAAGCTTATAGTACTTGTGTACTCTTACTGCTGATAGTTTAAGTACATGAAGCTGATAGTACTTGTGTACTCTTAGAGCTGATAGTTTAAGTACATGAAGCTGATAGTACTTGTGTACTCTTACTGCTGATAGTTTAAGTACATAAAGCTGATAGTACTTGTGTACTCTTAGAGCTGATAGTTTAAGTACATGAAGCTGATAGTACTTGTGTACTCTTAGAGCTCATAGTTTAAGTACATGAAGCTTATAGTACTTGTGTACTCTTACTGCTGATAGTTTAAGTACATGAAGCTTATAGTACTTGTGTACTCTTAGAGCTGATAGTTTAAGTACATGAAGCTGATAGTACTTGTGTACTCTTAGAGCTCATAGTTTAAGTACATGAAGCTGATAGTACTTGTGTACTCTTAGAGCTGATAGTTTAAGTACATGAAGCTGATAGTACTTGTGTACTCTTACTGCTGATAGTTTAAGCTGATAGTACTTGTGTACTCTTACTGCTGATAGTTTAAGTACATGAAGCTGATAGTACTTGTGTACTCTTACTGCTGATAGTTTAAGTACATGAAGCTGATAGTACTTGTGTACTCTTAGAGCTGATAGTTTAAGTACATGAAGCTGATAGTACTTGTGTACTCTGGTCTTTAATAGATTGTCAGTGTTGTGTGCAGGTGCAAAGGTGTCAGCGAGCAGCTGAGGGTGAGAACAAATCATGACGGTTAGTCGGAAGATCTCACGCCGATAGAGACGACGTAAACATGTTGACTGTGTTTCTCAGGAAGAGGTTGAGAAAGCGTAGCAGCTTTTGCAGCCTGACCTTTTTGCTGCAGCAGGTCGAGGCTGCAGGTTCAGAAGCTTCACGCCGGTGCAGGAAACACGCCTCGACTAAATGATCTGATCTGTAGATCTGACTCGCGGCAT